TCCAGTGCGCCCCCTAGATTATTCCAACAGTTATATCTCAGTGATACATCATCCGATCTGAACCAGATTTTTTGTGCATGATCAGTGAGCACTTGTAGACACACTGGTATTGTTGATTTATGACTTGACTTAAGCCCGGCCCAATCAGAGAAGAAACTAATGATTATTGGGTGTCTCTTCCAGCTTGGCACTGTGTAAGATATAAGACTAAAATCATATTTGCTAACTGCTGATTGCCACATATGACATGTTGAAACTCAAAGGAAATCCTTTACATTTGCTAGAAAACAGGAAGTGACAGTAACTCCTCTCTGAAAGGTCAGATTTTAGCCAAACTTGTAAGGCTTGCAGTTGGACTCATAATGATATGGGCGGAAGGTGATTTCAAAGATTCGGCATATGCGCACCCTGGTGGACGCATGCGGGTATGGCATGAGAGCGTTCATGATGGCGACTGGGAGGCGTTGCTGGAGCTCCCGCGTTCGCAGGTGATGTCGAAGGTTCAGAAAATATGCAACCTGGTGAACGAGCGCGGGATATGCACGAGAGCATTCGCGATGGCGACTGTGTGAAGTCGCTGGAGCTTCCGCGGTCGCCGTAAGGCCGGAGCGGCGCTATGGAGCGAGGGCCTTCAATGCTGCTTGCAGCTTTCATTTATTTTTGATTTTGATTTATTTTTGATTTATTTGTTGATTTGCCCGGCCTATGAAAATCATATATGGGCTGCACTGACCCTGATCAGACCTGCCCCACAGAGAAAACCCCGCTCCCTCATTTGAATAGAAGAACATGAAATAAAAGCGATGGGGTTCTCTGCAGACCAAAAGTGGGCGTTTTTGGAAAATAGGCATTTGTAGAGGACAAACACTGATTAGCTAGCTGTATTTGCTGGCTCTTTTTGTAAGTTACGTCAGCTCTTTTTGAAAACTGAAGGCTTCTAAGAAACAGCGTTATATCTGCTGTCAAATACAAGAAGATGCTCTAATGTTCTTGGGTTGGAGCTGAAACATGGAGTAGAATTGACCCTTAAAATCTGAGACAGCTGAGGAAGTTAACCAGTAAGCAGAAATACCTGCTCCAGTTGCAGAAATCTTACAGAAATTGACAATCACTCATCTGCAGTGACTGCTTTAAAAGGCTGAACAAGAAAATGTGAAGTTAAAGGTAACATCCTTTGTCCCAAAGCCAGTTTAAAGGCTCCAGTATACTTGTGTGTCCTGTCAGCTGCGTAGAAACTGCAGACAGAGGGTTGAGGCTTCATGCTCAAGCACCCACCCGGAGCAGCTCCAGCCCAGCTCCACAGTAAAGGGGCGTTTACCTTTGGGACAAATTGAGTTTGCCAATTGGTCATTTGCTGGCATGCCTACTGGATTGATTGACAGGTCAAAAAAAAAAAGCGACAGCTGGCAGTTCCAGCGACAGCTGGCAGTTCCAGCTGCAGCAGTGTTCTGTGTTTATATGTTGTTAATAAAATGTTTACCCCCCCCCCCTCCAAAAAAAAAAAACAGGGAGCGCTGACCCTGCAGCCCACACATCTGACCAGCCCACCAAGAAATCTCCAGACCCTCCTGCAGCCACGCTGGACCTGATTTTAATTCTCTTGTGACAAATTCCTTCATTTCTCACCATTTCAGTCATGGTGCCAATGGAGGAGGAGGAAGAGATCACTTGCCTCTTGGGAAAAAAAAACCTAAAGAAAAGGCCATTAAACCAGATCAGGGATGAAGAATGGGAATTAAATACATCTGTGTTGCATACAAAACAGTTCGTCGCCGGGCAGTTTATTGTGCGAAACCGAGTATGTGTACGAGGTCATAAAAATTGAGCTTTGCACGGATATGCCTTGCGGGCATCTGCTTCTACTCTAATCTGGTACGCACGGACCTCCGCGGACCCAAGTACACATGAGTATACTGGAGACTTAATTATCATTTTTATTTTGGTTACTTTATTTTTACTTCTTTATGAATTGATTGTAACTATTTTCACATTATTCAACAACTAAAATGGATTTTTTTTTTTTTTTATGTAATGGCTAGGTATTTAAAAAACAAACATTTAGCCCTCCCCACTACCCGTTTATGTTGCTCTTATTTTGAAATGTTACCGGAAGTTCTGTGTTAAGAGAGGCGGAAAGACAAGTTATGGAGACACTGTAAATGTCGAACCTGAGTCACCGCCAATGTCGAACCGGAGACGCCGCCAATGTTGATTCGGAGACGATGCTAATATCAAACCGGTTAACACTATAGACATAATTCAGTCAACCTTTATTTCTACAGGTAAATCCCATTGAGCCTCGAGGACTCATTTACAAGAGAGACCTGATTTCAACAAAGAAAGATGACAACAATGGACAACTGCAACAACAATAAACAGTTATAAAAAATCATACTGCAGGGTTATTATTATTATTTTTTTTTACAAATAGGATGGCTAAAAGGAAAAGGTAACAACAACAAAAAAAAAAAACAGCTAGATTATAAGGTGAATGTAAAAAACTAAAAACAGGAACATGTCTGCATTGGTCCCTGCCAGGAGTCCAACAGATTCTTAAAGCCACTTAGAGAGGTCAAAGGTCGAGAGCTTCAGGTCTTTTTACAAGATAGTCCAGGAAACAGGAGCGGAGTAGGAGAAGGTCCTTTTGCCTAGTTCAGTCTTCACTGAGGGAACACTGCAGGTAATAATGTCCTGAGAGCGCACGCCGTAGCTGCACTCACGCAGAGACATGTAGGAGGAGATGTATGAAGGCAGCAGACCAAGAAGTGATTTAAAGATGAAAATGTACCAGTGAGAGAGTCTGCGTGAAGTTAATGATGTCCAGTTAACCAGTGAATACTGGGTGCAGTGGTGGGTACGATAATCACAGCCAGTTACGAATCTTAGTGCACCATGATAGACAGCATCCAACATCTGCAGCATCCAACATCTGCTGCATCCAACATCTGCAGCATCCAACATCTGCTGCATCCAACATCTGCAGGGTTCTTGTAGGAGTGTTCATGTAAATAATGTCACTGTAATCAATGGAGGGAAGGAAAGTCACAGATACAAGGCGTTTTCTAGCATTCAGGGTTAGACAGGATCTGTTTCTGAAAAAGAAACCCAGTTTAACTTCCAGTTTCTTTACCAAGTTTTCCACATGGAGCTTAAAAGAGAGATGTGAGTCGACCAAGATACCCAAATATTTATGGGAATAACAAACTCAATGGGGACACCATTTGAGGATAAAATCGAAGGAAGAACTGCAGGGACCAACTTCCTATTTGAAAAAAGCATCCCTTTGGTTTTGTCGGCATTTAGGACAAGTTTGAGGCGAAACAAATCAGTCTGGATGTTGTTGAATGCAGATTTCAAAAGCTGGAAAGCCTTAGCAACAGTTTTAGCTCGACAATAAACAACTGTGTCATCAGCATACAAATGTATGGATGCATTAGGGATGTTTTTACCTACATTATGTATGTAGATTGTAAAGAGAGTGGGTCCTAAGACTGAGCCTTGTGGTACACCATTGTTGACTGTTAAATAACTGGAGGAAGTACCATTATGTTGAACACATTGCCTCCGGTCTGAAAGATAGTTAGAGAACCAACCAATGGTGTGTTCTGAGAAACCAGTTTCTGAGAGTTTATGACACAAGATGTTCTGATCCACAGAGTCAGAATCTTTAGACAGGTCTAAGAAAAGTGCAGCACAATAATCTTTAGCATCCAGAGCTTCAACAACGTCATTAAGAACCTTCAGTGAAGCAGTGGTTGTGCTGTGTTGTTTCCTGAAACCAGATTGATGTGGAGGTAAGATGTTAAATGAGTCCAGGTAATCTTTGATTTGAGAGTTTATCAGTTTTTCTAGAACCTTGGCTAAAATGCAGAGTTTAGAGATTGGTCGATAGTTGTTCAGTGAGGTGGGGTCACCTCCCTTCAGCAAAGGAAGAACAAAGGCTGTTTTCAAGTGTCTGGATGGAGTTTTGTCTTATGGAGAGATTGAAGATGTGGGTCACAGGGACTGTGATGATATGAGCAGCCAGCCTTAAGAAATAAGGTGGAAGTTCATCAGGACCTGCAGATTTTTTAGGATCAAGATCTTTTAACAGTTTATTGACCTCACTGACTGAGAATGGAGAAAAAGAGAAGCTGTGATTAACTGAGGATTGACTTGTAGGAGGGATTTGATTTGTAGAAGTTTGGTTATTAAGTGAAGTGGCTGATTTTCTGTTAGTAACTGTGTCAAATAAAGAACTAGAAGCAACAATAATATGTTTGTGGTCAACACAATCTGCCAATAATTCCTTTTTCTTATCGTCCAATCAGATGTGACCCTCCAGTAATGCCTTGTGTTTTATCGTCCAATCAGATATGGCCCTCCAGATATGTCAGCAGAGATACCTACTGGAAATAAAAATCACTTAAAATTAAAAACGGGGTTAAAAAATAAAAGCCCCTGATATATGTAAAGTAGCTTTACAAAATAAAAATGTCACAAAATGAAACTCCATTATTAAATAAATAAATAAACAAATCTTGAATTAAATCAATCAATCAACCTTTATTTCTACAGGTAAATCCCATTGAGCCTCGAGGACTCATTTACAAGAGAGACCTGGTTTAACAAAGAAAGATGACAACAATGGACAACAGCAACAACAATAAACAGTTATAAAAAAGCATACTACAGTTTTTTTTTTTTAACAAATAGGATGGCTAAAAGGAAAAGGTAACAAAACAAAAAACAGCTAGATTCCAAGACAAATGTAGAAAACTAAATAAAAATAAATCTTGAAATAAAAAATAAATCTAGGAAAAAAACTAAACATTTTCTATTTAAATGTTTTATTTCATGGGAACATTTATTTATTTAATGGAATATTTATTAATAATTTTTAAATAACACTATGTATTTATTTAATTTTTTAACGAAATGGCTCTCCAGCATCAAGGTCTTCTCAATATGGCGGCACAAATTCTCGTTTGTACCAGGGTAGAGGCGGCCATTCCAGTGTTTCTGTAGTTCGGTGGCACACGACCCACTGCTCATGCTCGTTTGCTCCGTGGATAGAAGGAAGACAAAGACAAGGGTCCAGGAGCAAAGTTTCAGCTGTAACGTAGTTTTACCTCTTTGAAGAACATGCTGTTCACCGAAAGCTAACGAGATGTGGAGGCAGCAAGTAACACAGCGACCGGATGCAGCGGCGAACGATTTTAAACAGGAACTGTGTCGTTCCGGGGAGAAGAACCGCAGACGGAGGAACGTCCTGCGTCGTGCTGTTTTTAATCCCGACCATCAGCTGCAGATAATAGGTCTGTGTCTTATTATTCATGTTGCCCTTCGCTCAACGTCAACTGTATTTTGTGGGTTAGCGTTTCCAACATTCGGAGAGAAAGCTGCTGCTATAAATCAGACTATAAAGATGGCGGCAACAACCAGCCGACCCCAGGGATCAACTGGATCCTGTGGATCCTGTGGACGTGTTCAACTAAAACTGCTGTAAATGTGGAGCTCCAATCGTGTCAGGTGGGAGGTCATCTCAAGGGCTGACCTCCTTCACTTAAAATAAACCGTGCTAAAGTTAGTTTGACTTAAAATAAGTAATCGGCTTGGACTTGAAGATAAGATGAGCACGCTTTATTGTTCAGTGTGATTAATAATCAGATGATGAATGAAACCGATACATTGATGATATTTTCTAACCAGAGCTGAAGAATCATGCTTTTGTTTTCCTTCTGGGAAAGATGTTAATTTCAGAAACTTTATTTTTAATTAAAGCTACAAAGTGTTTGTTGTTCATGTTCTATTTTGTCTATAAAGTTTGATACCATTAATGACACCATATTTCAAACACAAACTAGAATTGGTGGGAAAGGTGCAGCACCCACACCTGCCTCCACCCTCATTTGCCCCACGCTGGGCCCTCAACCCCCACCATCTGCTCCACGGTTGCCCTAGAGGGCAGCTCTCTCAGAAGGGGTTCTCTGCAGACCAAACGCAGGCGTTTCTGGAGAACGGGCGTTTGTAGAGGGCAAACATGGATTAGCTAGCTGTATTTGTTGGCTCTTTAGGTAAGTTACGTCAGGTCTTTTAAAAACTGAAGGTTTCTAAGAAACAGCGTTACATTCAAGGGCGTCGGAAGCATCCGTAACGTGGGGGGGACACAATGATGTGTGTGTGTAAATAAGTGTACAGTAATGTACAAAAACAGCAGCATTTCACCCAGAGTTCCATTAATTCCATTTAAAGCATATTTCTCACCAAGTTGGTATAATTTCAGCTGTGGGTTTTAAAGACATTTCAACTTGAATGCACCTGAACACACAGAGTCTCTTCCACCTGCAGCGTCTCACAGCGTCACACTTACTGCTAAGCTAACATGCTACAGACGTAGCGCTGCACTTCTCTCAAGCATCCTCCTCAACATCTACTCCACAGACTGGGCAACATCTCCTCTCGTTGTATTTTAATAAATAATCAAAATAAGAATGCGCAATGACTTTGGCCTTTTAGGGGCGGAGATTTGAGTTGCCAGATCCAAACGGTCAAGATGAGAGAGTTCCCGGATTTTGTTCCGACAGGGTCCAGCTCAAATTAACCACTTGTCTGGGTACAATGAAATATGAAGCATCTAAAGCGAAACCTGCTCCCATTTGTCAAAAACTTCTGGTCTCAATTAAAGATCATGAGTCCTATAACGACCCAGTGATGGACTTGCGACCTGTCCAGGGTGTCCCCCGCCCCTAGCACAGTGATTGCTGGACATGGGCACCGGCGACCCCCGTGATCCAAAATGGAAGAAGCTGGTAAAAGATAATGGATGGATGGAGATGTAACAAGATAATGGCCCAAAACAAAAGCTAAAAACAAAATTTGCTTTTTATTAGTGCTCTTCTATGAGAGCTGATCTATGAAAGGAGCTGAAACATGGAGTAGGATTGACTGTTAAAATCTGAGACAGCTGGAAGTTAACCAGTAAACAGAAATACCTGCTCCAGTTGCAGAAATCTTACAGAAAATGTCAGTAACTCATCTGCAGTGACTGATTTAAAAGGTTGAACTCGAAAATGTGAAGTTAAAGGAAACTTCCTTTGTCCCAAAGCCAGTTTAAGTATCATTATTATTTTGGTTACTTTATTTTTCATTCTTTATGAATTGATTGTAACTATTTTCACATTATTCAACAACCAAAACAGAATTTGTTTTTTAATGTAATGGCACAAACATTTAGCCCTCCCCATGCACTTAACGAGGACCCTCACCAGTATGCATAACGCGAGAACCGATCAACAGAGGACGCCATCTCCTCTGTGGTCCACACTGCTCTCACTCACCTGGAGCAGAAAGACTCTTACGTCCGTATGCTCTTTGTGGACTTCATGTCTGCTTTCAACACCATGATCCCCCAAACCCTGATGGACAAACTACTCACACTAGGACTAAGCCCATCCATTTGTAACTGGGTCCTGGACTTTTTAACAAACAGACCACAGTCAGTGAGGATCCACAACTTCTCCTCCTCCACCATAACCCTCAGCACTGGCTCTCCTCAGGGATGTGTGTTGAGTCCCCTCCTGTTCACTCTGCTCACATATGATTGTGCAACTACTCAACCAGGCTGTCATAATATAAAGTTTGCAGATGATACAGCGGAGGTGGGATGCATCACAAACAATGATGAGTCCAGCTACAGGCAGGAGGTGATAAATTTCAGCAGGGCTACATCCTCCCCCACCTAAACATTTCAATGTCCCCACCAGACTTAAACAACCACAGCTTATCTGAACAATAGCTACAATACATTACATTCTTCTGTTACTGTTGACATTTGATGTTTGGATAACTAATCTGGATCAACATGCCTCTATAAAATATGGAAACTGGTCTATCTATAGCCCCTTATCCACAGGGCCTTTTGGTGCTCCTATGTAACTAGTTCGGGCCGATTGCGTAGTGTCTCCACGGTGCCTTCAGTGGTGGAACCCGCACAATTTTTGAGACCTACTTCTCTGGGGTCCCAGGTCTGGTTCTTGTTGGGTCCAGATGTGACGTCAGCACACTGTCGGTCACTGATTGGTCAGGGGAGGAGTCACTGGATCTTTCAGAAACTTTTCAAAACACCGGTCCGACATTTGCAATTTCTCAGACCGGAGTAGCGGCTGGACTTATTTTAAAGATTTAAAAACAATAATGACAACACCGTGGTCTAATGCTGAAGTGCTGGCGTTTTTTTTTTTGTGCTTGCTGGCCGACGACAAAATTCAGAGCGAGCTAGATGGAGTTCCGCCGGTCTACCTGGGTCCTCTCCACCGCAGCGTCGGAGCCGGGCAGGGCGTCATCTCCTCAAGCTAAAATTTATCTGTGGAAGTAAGTAAAAAGCGATATTTACTGTTACGTTTTTTTGAGTTGAAAACTGCATAAATGGTGAAAGTCTGTTTTCTTCGAGAGAAGCTAGCTGGCCGTAGTTAGCATGTAGCTTCGTGTAGCTTCTCATACCGTTATATATCGCCGGGACATGAATTTTATGTCATTACAAACATCCCAGTCGAATGTTAGATACAGTAGGAATGAGTGACAGACCGACCAGCCGGCAAAAAAAAACAAAAAACCCGCGACTACTGCCGTGTTCTGTTCAGCTAGCATACATCGTCAGACCGCCATACGCGTAGCACTGATCGCCATACTCGTAGCGCAAACTGACGGCTACATCTATCCGCAGTGAGAGCACCATACACTTCTTTTTAATTAGCCATATCACACTATCACGTAGCAGTTAACCTGTCAAATCATCATATTTTGTTATTAACCGCTGTATGATACCCTGACGTCTCAATCCGCCCTGAATAACAGCTGTATTACACTCTGAGTTAGCAGTTAACCTGTCAGATCATCATATACTTTGTTTTTAACAGCTTTATTACACCCCAATGCCTCAGTTCGCCCTTACTTAGCAGTTTAACAGCTGTTTGACACCCTGAGTTAACAGTTAAGGCAGCAGATTGATTATATTATCCTTATAATGTTTAAATTCACAAAGCTCGGACTAACTTCACTTGCACAGTTCGCACATAAACAAACAGTTTTCGCTCCACCTGAAGTCGAGCACATATTACACGCAAAGCATCACCAAAACGATTTACTTACGGTTCAGGAAATGCATTGCACACTGTAAATTGTGTAAATACACAATAATACCATGTGTACTTTGCACCAAAACAATTTACTAACTTACTTTCTGTTGTATCTTACAGTGTAGGATGATCATACGGCTCCTCTGAACGTCACAGGCTTATTGTAAAATGTGCATGTGCGCGCATGCGTATTAACTAAATGTATGGGGGAGTGGTGGCGCAGAGGTTAGAGAGGTGGGCTTGTGATCCGAAGATCGCCGGTTCACGCCCCGGCCCCGACAACATCAAAATTGTGGGTGGGGTAGGTGAAACACCCACACTTGCCCCCACCCTCATTCGCCCCACTCTGGGCCCATGAGCAAGGCCCTTAACCCTTAAATGTGCTCCCTAAACAGGTCTCTCTTGAAAATGAGTTCTCGTGGCTCAATGAGACTAACCTGGATAAATAAAGGCTAAATGGAAAAAAAAAAAAAAATGATACCATCACATGTATGCTGAATGGACAGAACACCGGCCAAAAAACCCCAAACTGACATAATTGGTGTGTAGCTTCGTGTAGCTTCTCATCACTGTAGACAATATCGCCGGGTATCTAACATGTGACTGTTCTTACAGTCAGTAAACACCAGCAGATGTCCACAGTAGTGAAACATACGATCGTCAGCACTAACTAAACAGACCTGTGTTAACATGTAATGTGAATCATTTCAGGTTAATCAGTCAGTCCCTGTCTGAAGATCCTCTACAGCCGCGGGTGTCCTTGGAGAAGGATGGGGCAGTAATGTGTGGCCACTGCACTTTAAAGCAAGTATGTCATGACACAAACATTCAAAACTTGAATATTACAGATAAAAACTAAGGATAACGATGTTTAGAGGAGATTATAACAATTAAATTTTTCTTGTTTGTCAGATGGGGATGTGAAAACAGCCAGCCAGACATATGAAGCCATCGCTGGACCGCAGCATCAGGACCTGAGAGCTTGTGCCTCCAGACTACACATCAACTGCAGCGGCCCAGACCTCGGAGCTTCTCCGGATGCTCTGCTCTCCTGCACCTGCTGTGGTGATGGTGTTTGGAAAATAAAATGTCCACATTGTGCCAAAGATGCTGGAGACCTCGGTGCCTCAGTTAAGAAACATTTCTGCACTGACAACACAAACGGGTCCTATGAACTCAGC